CCGTTCCGCCCTCCGAATTTGGTCGCAACCCGAGGTGAATTTCCCCATAGGGTTCAATATAAATCAGGTTAATCCATTCCGCCCTCCGCCCGAATTTGGTCGCAACCCGAGGTGAATTTCCCCATAGGGTTCAGTGTAAATCCGGTTAATCCGTTCCGCCCTTCACCCGAATTTGGTCGCAACCCGAGGCAATTTTCTCTTCAGAGCCTGACTCCCGCCAAGCCTGCTCTGCATTTTCTTTGAAGCCATGCTAACACGCACACCAAAAACCTTTGCAAAACACCGCAAAACACACCACAAGCCTCACCGAATGTCTCCTTGCTACCGCAACCTCGCCCACAGGAAGCCACGACCGCGTGGCAGCGGGGAAAGTGGCCGCGGATCCGGTTCGTAAGTCGAGGCGAGTTCATAACCCGAGGTAAAATTTCCCTGCCGAAGCTGATCGTAACCCGAAATGTTCGTTAGTAGAGGCATTCGTATCCCGAGGTACCACTGTACTGTGAATAAGCTGGTGCTGTGCAAGTCTCGTGACACCTTAAACAAGTTTTAGATTCACACATCGTGCTCAGTCCATCATGGTTCATCTTGACTATGTTTGTTGAGAAAGTCTGAATGGCCCAATTTATACATAGCTAAGCCATTGTTGTTGTTGTTTAGTCGTTAAGTCGTGTCCGACTCTTCATGACCCCATGAACCATATTGCGCCAGGCCTTCCTGTCCTTCACTGCCTCCCTGATTTTGCTCAGTTTCATGCAGCTAAGCCATACACAATGGCAAACCACTTTTGAAATCTAGGTTGTCATAAGGTGTAGCTACTTTACCTAAGACTTCTGCCCTTCTCAGTAGATAAAGATGACACACTTTTTTCTGCCTGCAGCTTTGGTAGTAAAATTTAGATACATGAAGTGCTTTTATTTAATTTAAAAGTAATGAACATTTTCAAAAATCACAATGGAAGCTCTGAAGAAACTCAGAAGCAATACAGGCAAGTTCCTTGTTTCCAGAAGCTCCATAGACACAGACTCTTTAAAGAAGCAACTATTAAGCAATTAATATTCTGCTTGCATTTCAAATCCCCTTTGCTCTGAGAGTTTTGTTTTTCCAATGCTGATTGTCTCTCTAGTGACTACTAACCTGAATCTATAGGGGTTCACATTAAATTGTATTTACCAAATGCTTTCATCTGGTTTTAAGTTTAGCAAGGATTCAGTGTAACAGTAACAGTGATCACGAGTTCTCTAGTAAAATTAGTTGAATTGAGTTCCAATGAATTTTTAAGATTTCAGGACCAACTGGTAGAAATTGATTCTAGCAACTGCCACTTACCTTTCTATCTTATGAGAGAAAGTTCTCTCAAAGGCTCAGATCATAATAGTAACCCTGTTTTGACCACAAAGTTGATGGTTTTCACTGTTCTGGTTTGCATGAAGCTTTTAACTTGATATGATCTGCTTTCCTAACTTTTGTCTGGAAGCTGAATATCAGCTGTTGGATTCATTGTTGACCAAAGGGATGTTTGAACACTTCCCTGAATCTTAAAGATAATCTATTAGCAAAGTATATTACTTAAATCTACAGATGTTCAGATATCACCATGTCATCTCATCTACACCTTCTGAACTGGCTAGCTTTAAATAGCGACTGGCATTCCATGCTGTCAATAATGACTGCTCTAGGACACATCCTGAAAGGAATTCAAGTCATAAAGTTAACCACAGGTCTAATTTTTTTAAGAGCAGCTTTCCTCCATTCCTGTGGTAAAGGCACAATGTGAATTCTGCCCTCACCCTTCCCATGAGGTTAACAGGGCAGGAACAAGAATCAGGCCCCAGTCTGATGGAATACTTTACCTACTGTGTAAGGATGCCTCCCTCCTCCCACCACTTAACATTCAGAAAGGAAGCCAAAACAATCCTCACCTGCTGAGCTGCTGATGCTGTGTTATTTTATCATCTGTAAAATGCAATATTTATCATTTTGATTATGACTTCTATTATTGGGTGCCTGGCTTTCATAAGCCAGCCAAAGGCCCATGGCTGGGATGACATAAAAAGTAGAGGTTTGCCTTAGTCCCTCATAAGCACTTGATTCTTTGGCTCCATTTCATCCAAGTGCTCATAAGGAAGGTATTCTTCCTGGCTCAGTTAACAGGGTAAAAACATCCGTTTCTGCCTGCCAAGAATTTGGCTTATTTTACCCAGAGTGGTACTGCAGCTAGATCTGAGCATTATCTCTGCATTTCCTTTCTTTTTTCACTCAATTTTTCAGAGAGCTCAGTGAGATTGTTTTCCTTATGTCTGCCCTAATCCCTCCTGCTCAAAGAAAAAGAAAGAACTCTATAATATAGAGAATATTCATTGTATTTATTTTGCTAGAACTTTGAGTCCAGATGTTCAATCTCTTCATACATAAGGTAAGAAAATCTCCAGATATTCAACAGAAAGATGATTCAGAAATTACTCTAACCGCCCAGGGATATCCTCCCATTTTAAGCATCATTACAGACTGAACTGCTTCAGACATTGACATCCCCTCAGATATTTATGCTGGCTAACTACCTGGGTCTACTCCAATTCACTATTATAAGAATAAGAGATATTTATCAGCTATTGTCCTTTGGTAGAGAGTCATACAGCAGGTCTTGTACACAACATACCAATCCTAGAAACTGCTTTTGGACATCAATTTACTTTCTGCATCTCTCTCCCCTGATCAGGAACAGAAAAAAGACCTAGTGTAAATTGTTTTTCTGGTCAGCAAAGAGTGGAACGCAGATTCTTAAATACTATATGGTATTACTTGAAAGCAACAAGGAGTATAGTTTTGTTTTTCTCATTTGTGCACAAAACAATTCTTTTATCATTTTCTCCTAACTATTTTTTTTCTTTTAGGGGAGCTAAATGCTAAATTTAAATCACATGACTGATAAAGCATGCATTGCAATGCACATTCTTCCATTTTTGCACTTGTATCATGAAGTTTCAACATGTATTTCTTCTTACATCTCTTCATTTCTTCATACAAAAGCTCTGTTCTCCATGGTTGTCATGCCTGCAAGCCTGGCCCAAGTACCCCCTTCACAGGCCTGAAAGTTCATCATTATATGTTCACTAGCCAAATAACAAAAGACACAAAAACCAGGAGAAAAACAAGAAAAGGGAAAAAAGAAGAATAGTGAATGTTCCTTTGACATCTGTAGTAAAAATAAGCCAGAGCTCAGTACTAAAAAGTTGCTAAATGTTTTACTTAGGAGTATTTCATATTTCCGGTTGGAAGTCATCTGCAAATTACCAAAGATTAACATGTATTGTTGCCAGTTCAGTCAAAGTTGTTTAAGATCCAAACAGCCTAGTGGAAAACAAAAGGAAAGTTAATGACTAATTTTTATCAGTTATTCTTACAACAGACCTGCCAACCAATATTATGTATTGTCTTTTTATACTGCCCAATAAGTTAAGTCAATTGAAACATATTGCAAAATATATATTATCCTCATTATAAAAGGAAGAGTTAGAACAATTAATGAATAAGGTGAACTTATATGTGGGATTGAAGCTCATACTTTTATAGCCATTTTATTAATATGGCAGTATCAGTTCAGGATTGGCACCTTTGCCAAGTTTAAAAGTTGACAATGTAGAGAAGTTAAAAGAATATCATATATTCTGTACGTGTGCAAACAAAGCATTAAAAAGACATAGCAAGGTAAGGAAGACACAACCATGACATCTTTGTGGCGTTTACTTACACAATCATGCAAAACATCATGAAAATATTCCATAGTGCAATGAAGATCCGAAAGTATCTTAAGCTTAACAGAAATTCCCTGATATTGTCACCTAGAAGGCAGGAAGTAAATAAAACTGTATTTACAACAGACACTACCACTTGTTTCATCCACATTCCTTTAAGCGTACGCTTAGCAGTAATTCATTCATTCAGGTACCACCTGATTCCAGACTGACTCTAATAACTGGAGTAAGATCCCCAACAATGAACAAGGTACTCTGTTTATTTTTAATATGAGGCAAGAAAAAGGCAGAAAGAGATCTTTATAACTCAAGCAACTTGGGTAATTGAACCAATGACCCAGCAGGGATAGAAGAAGCATGAAAACAACTACGCAGAGCCATACTATGACCTATGTAGTATAAACGCTAGTAACATTCTTTTTCAGTATTTGCAATTGGGTGGCATGTTGTCACTCTATCAGCAGCACAGACATTCAATAGCTCCCCCTTCCTTCATATACCTGCAATCTCTCCAGATAGCTAAGAAACCTCCATAGCATATTTACAGCATATTTAGGAGGGGGTAGGAAAGTCACTGTAAGGTCAAAGGACAGTCATTTAATGATGCAGCCTTTTGTTTTAGAACAGGATAGGCAAGGTGTGGTCCTCTAGAAATTGTTGAATAGCAATTCCTATGATTGCTCATCCTGGCTAGAACGGAAAGAGTTCAGTATCTGAGGGGCTGTATATTACCTACTGTCAAACTTACTCACAGAACCCCAGCAGAATATCCTAGGCACTCAACTCAGCACAGCTTGACTAAATTCTAGGCTCATATTTGGCGAAACGCTATCTGACCCACAACACTGAGTACGTAAGTATCTTTACTGCATACAGGAAGAAGTCACTAAAACAGTTGATTGCTCTCTGTCAACCTGAAGATACAATTCATTCTTTATACTCAATGTAATTTAATTCTGCTGTTTTCTTCCACTCTTCCATGGTTTAACTGATGTTTTGCCCTGTGCTTCTTAGTCTTGAAACTGAGCATTGTTAATTGTTGACAAACCAACACCTCTGCCCTGAGAAACTCTGGGTCCCATCTTAATTCTGTTTTAAGTTTTTTTAGATAAATATACAATCCAAATTACTAGGCAAAATAAAACCACAGAATGAAAAAAAAAAGTGTTTAAAGCACTACCCCAGCAAATGTGATACTATTCTCATCAAGAAGGTGCAACAATAATTTATACAAAAACCTTGATTTCACAGTCCAAATGCAGAGAAATGGTGTCCATTGAAACCAAATGTCTATTAAATCTGAAAGTATATTACATATGTTACTCTTATATAATTTTACATCATTATGTAACATTTATGTAATTCTTAACTAATTTGTTAAACTTATGTAAGAACTATAAACATTGTCCTGACTGATTCACCAAACAATGATCAAATTTGAATGTCCAAGGCATATCATAAGAATAAGTTTAAAAGGACCTCTGGGTATGGACAGAATGTCATTATCAAGCTGTCATTTAAAATCAGCAAATACAGTATGCATATGGAAGCAAATAGTCCAGAATGTTAATCCGGAACAATAGCCCATATTTTTCTACAGAATACCCCAAGTTTGCAATCCCAATACAAGACTAAAAAATTAGCTACAACTATTTTGGAGACACGCAGTAAGTTCAAGAAAACTTCAGTTCAAGGACATCAGCTAGAACTTTTACCTGTTGTTGGTTCTCTTCCTTCTTCACCAAAGCCCTGACTCTCCTTCTTCTTCCTGGAAGGCAGACAAAGAAAGATTTACTTTAAACATCTCAGAACACAGTAGTACCTCATAATTAAAGCAAACAGGAGTGTACTAAAATGGACAATGACAGAAGAAAGTCTACTGACAACTGTTAGCCAAGATAGCTTAATGGAATAGCAATACTGGGAAGAAAACAAGAGGAAGTTTCAAGCCCTACTTGAAGAATTTTCAGACGTGATTAACCATGCAGTGAAAATGGTGCCAGACTAGATGAATACAGTTTAGGCAGGACACAGCAGAAACCTTCTTGCAACATTTAAGGGGAACGTCCATGATCAAAAGCAGCATGCCTTTAAACAACATCAGCTGCTAGTTCATAATGACCATTTTATGAGATTTCTGTAGAATAGCTAATTTGCCCACTGTAGTAAACAGAATATCTGGGTTGGATGTGCATTCTCTATGCTCCTAACAACATAGGAAATATCTTATATATAGCTCTCAGGTCTTTTACAATACTGCTAAGTGCTCTAATTGGAAGTAGTGATAAATTGAACCTTCTCATTTCAGGTCCCCTTGAATCTAGGCAGTCGTGGCTGATCTTGAAAAGCTAAGCCAGAGTTACACTGAGCTAGTACTTACCAGGAAATCTCAGGGTTCTATGCTATCCCATCAGTTTAGTTGCCCAGGCTGTCATTTAAAATGAGGCAAATACAGTATTTCCCTATGACTGGGAAATTAAGGCAATAACCAATCACTTTTATATTGTTGCCAAGAAGAAAACATGGCTGTGTGAAGTGTTGGTTTAATCAGCAGAAGTAAAGCTACGCTCAAGAGAAACTTTATCTTATCTTCATTTATTCATCTCTGGCCAGTTCCAAGATTGAGGAGAAGCTATCACTGACTTTTTAAAAAGAGGCTCTCTGGGATTGCAGAAAGTTGTGTCCTACCAAATCCACCCAATAAACTCTATTCCAAGGAGCTCTCTAGAAAGGAGTTCTTCCCAGTTTTCCTAAAGCCCGTCTAACTGGACCTTGAACCTGGTATTTTCTATCACCAAAATCACATGTTCCAAGCTTTGAATTGAAAGCTTCCCCAGAAGCTTCTCTGAGAAGGAACTCATGATGGAAGCACGAAAACTCAGTTCCTAGCCTAGTGGTTACAGTAATTCCTCCATTTTCCCAGGGAAGCAAATCCTGCTTGTGCAGTACTTACAGCCTGAAGTTTAACACTGCTCCGGCATTGACCATCAGAGTCCTATGTGGCAGAAGAAGAAAATATGAGAACGTATATTGGCTTGGCCTTTTCCACCTTGTCTCAGCATTTCTGGGCTGCTGGGGGGAGGAAACGACCCACAAGTTAGGGGTAAGTGCTTCCTCGATGCCTCTTCTGATGTTCCATCCCAACTACTACTGCTCTTTTTTGCACTTTTAAGAGCTGCAGAGCAGACACAGACATTTAGCCAATCCAGTTTCCCTCGGAGAATGCAGGTTGGGACATCCTCCTGCCCCTCTACCGTACCTGCATAACCTTTACACCCCTCGGTCCCGCACAGTCGAATTTACCGAACAGGAAAACATGCCTCCCCCCACTTAACAAAAGCAGTTGCTTGGCAACAAGCTAGCTCCCCCTTACCCGAACAGCAGCAAATCCCCCAACATCCTGCTACTTCCGCTCTGCTTGTATCGAAACGGAAATATACCCCGCGGACACGCAGCAGCTCAACAACCAATAAGCATCAACTTCATCCTGCCTTTCCTCCCTTGGCCACCAGGTGACACCCACCCGCTATACCGTAAGGGGAAAGTCTGCGGCACGTCACAGACGGGCGGTGACGATCCTCCATAAGCCCCGCCCATCAGTTTAAAGCTGTGGGATTAGTCCTTTATCCTGGGAGCCGAGGCGTGCTATGAAGGTTTAATGGGTGTGAAAGATGCTGCCTTTTCTTCTTCGTTTTTTTGGTCTCGTTCTTGTGTCCCCCCCTCCCCCAAAAAAAGAAATGCAGGGAGATGTCTATTTTAGCAAAAGTCGGCGGGAGGAGCAGGAATTGTGAAACTGTAGAAGAACAGGAAGATCAAACTGAGCATTCTTCAGAAGCAGCCCTTGTGTTATCTAGTGATCTCAAGCATGCATGGAGGTGGGCTCTTGGCCGTGCTGTGCCGACGGAACCTGCATGTTCGGAGGCAGTCTACCTTTAAATACAAAGTACACGAAGGGTGCGTCCTTCTTGCCTCCTGAGGCGTTGTGGGCAAGTGCAGCCACTTCGTTATGTGCCATAAGGAGTAGGAGGCGATTCCGCATAGAAGATGCCCGCCAACAGTTCGGGAGCAAATGCCCACCGTTACGCACCTCAAGTGGGGTCCTGGCCGGCACTTTGCGCAAAGAGGCAAAAAAGCGCAAAGTTTGAGCTCTTGAGCTAAACTTTATCCCGAATCTAGTTTGTCTAACAGTGTTGAAGACGAGGGCTTGGGGAAGGGAGCAGCATTAATCCCGATTAAACTCAAGGGGGGTCCGAATTGCCGCAGAAGAGCCTTTCCTGACCTCGCAAGCACTGCCTCCTGCCCCTCCATGAACTGATTTTTAAAATTAAAAAAAAAAAAAAACGGTGGCAAGTGCCATCACCTCCGGTGGGCCCGGGCAACTGGGCGCATTTGCTTCTGCTGCCCCGCTCCCGCTCGCTGCGGGGAGCGGGGCGGAGGCTCCGTTGCGGGGTCCCGGGGTCCGTCTTTGAGGCCCAGTCCTAACCGTGGCGTTGCTGCCTTCCTTTCCAGGCAGGTAGCGAGCACCCCCCGTCGTTCGTGCATTTGGGTCGGCCTGAAGGAGAAACGCGGCTCGCGTCGTTTAAGCAACCGCGCAAGGTGCAGGGGAAGGCGGGGAGGCGAAATCCCTCGATTCCGGAGCTAGGGGCGGCGAAGGCACGAGCGGAGAGAGAGGGGATAATGTTCCCGGCGGGGGGGAAAGGAATTGCACTCTGCACACGCTCAGCCGCCCGAGGCGCCCCCGGAG